TTGCAGTACGGTTAATTAGTTTGAATTGCGTGCAACATATATTTTAATATTATCAATATGCTAAAAGGCTTATAAATAGATAATATTAAATTTTATATTAAATATAACAACCGAATAAAGTATCACGCTCGGTAAACGTATATTACAAGTTCTTCCCATATTAAATTAGCACGCCTCGTATCCAAATTTTCAGTTAATTATATAATATCACCATTATGTAATTCGATTATTTATTTTTGGAAATATTATTAGTTTATGATGCAACAAATTATTTCAGATGGTGCTGAATTTAATAATACTGCTAAATAGAATTGAATCTTACAACAGTAAATCAATTTCAAAACTAGAAACAAAGCATCTAAGTATGCTTTATTATTAGTGATGTACTTTTTAAACTATATAATAGGAAAATAAAATCAAGCACCTCATTCTCCGCCCCATGAATAGGGGTGCTGTAAAGCACCCGTAACATCGGAAATTAAAACATCTTATTTTTTATTTATATCATTATTTAAATAATTAAATATCGTTAAATTAAATGCATTGGAAGAAGTTTTATTCAATGTCTAGTTTTCGTGTAAATAATATAATAAGTCATTAAGAATAATATTTCTCCATAGGAAAAAAAAAACAAGTTACCTCAGGTTTTTGGGCAATTTTAGTTATGTTCTCAATAGTGTGTGGATTTCAGGTACAAACATTTGTCATATACAATCAATGAAAACTGATTGTATTCTTCATCAATTATTTATATTTTGATTAATTTGCTATAATTTACGAGATAAAGATAAATAATACAAATCAGTCGGAACTAGCGGGAATACGTCAGGAAAGGTTAGTTGTTAAAAAAAGTAAAACTGAGAGAGCGGATGTGCAACTTGCTCTCTTGTTTACGCAGTTAATCATTATTGGCAACAAAACAGCGTCACTGCACTTTAATCAGTATGAGCAATTACATTTCGATCATACCGTATTATAACCTCGTCACAATTACTCACCGACATGAAAGATATATTTACATGATAACACCAAAGTATACAAACCAAAAGCAACAACACCCATCTCAATTTAACATGGCACAGCCTCTCTGCAACAACATCCTCCTTGCCTGCACCAGATGAATCACTACAACGGACAGAACCAAGACTCTATCTCTGCACGCGTAGAATGACTTCACTCGTAGAATCACTCAAAAGGAACCTCCCGCGCTCTGCACCTACACTGAACTGGTGCAGAATACAAACGAGTGGGGGGCGGGGGAGTTCTCGAAATACCCTCAATTCCAAAATTTCAAGTCGCCACCATCGATATGACGCTCCATTAGAGTGACGCAACCTCTTGTTCACTCTTGATCCAACCGGTATTTTATAGACGCGCCTACATATCTAATATCTATAAAGATGAATAATAGGTATACATGTAAAATTATTATGGCGCATCATATTTATTCCGCAAAGATACGATTGTCTACGACTCTCCAAGCTTTCGATTCGGGGACTAAGAGTGGAGTGAGCAATTGGCAATCAGTTACAATTGCTCCGTTGAGACCATAGTGTACCTTTATATATACTGGAAGTTGAGACGGAGTTCTTTAAACGAATGATTGCATATTTTACTGCATGCAAAAGTCACACTAGGAACAATTTATTACATCGTATCTTTAATATAAGCCACTTATTTTTAATTATCAATGGTTTATATTAAAGATACATTGTAATCGATGTAGCAATAGGTGACTATTATAGGAAGGCCAGAAAGTCTTATGGCTTTCGGCAGATGGCGGTATAATCATCTCGTATTCGACGACGACGAGCAGCAGCGTCAGAGGTGCTCACCTCTGGCACTGCGATCGTCAATATATCTATCAAGAGTGACGATTAAGCTCAATCCTCCCCACAAAAGGAGAGGCCCATGTCCAGCAGCAGATTATAAGGGACCTTTAAAGGAAAGGAAATAGTATAAATTTGACCCTCGGTAACGTTCAATGCTTTTGGTCGCGACGCTGTAGACTACGGGTTCGGATCTCGCACGGAAGAAGTGAAGAGACTTTAACATAGATGTAGCAATTAAACAAATTCTAGATTATCAAAATACAAACTTAAGCTTTCATATTATTGATCAATATGTATTTATATATAGTTTATTCAACCCTATTATATTATTTGGTTCATGATATCATTCGGAGCTATATCGCGCACATCCCAATTATACTCTTCCGCTTATCCGATCGACAGTATAATTAATATGACGCAAATATTATTATAGCGTTATCTTTTCAAAGCGAAATCGTGAAGGGAATGATCAGAAGTAAACGATCATTTGTAGACTATGTTATACTCCAGTGACAGAATTTGATCCTCTTCCACTAATTTATAGCAACATTCTCATTTATTATAGACATCTTATATTTTATTGATTTTCAACCATTTAACGATGAAAATATTCTTTCGTAAATTCCAAATTTAAAATTTATATGTTAGTCAATTGCAAATGATTCTCGTTATTATGAAGAAAGTTATACTTCTGGAGTGGTCCCATATAAAATGTGGCATTAAGGATTTTATTATAAATTTCTAGACGGTATTCTAATTCGTAAACTTGAACATTACCTTGTTATACTCCGTAGTCCACTTAAAATAGTCAAATAACTAAGATTTTAATAAAAGAATAAGTCGACTTCAAATAACTTAAAACCCACGACTTCAAAAGCTACGTGGAAATTATTTTACTCTTAAATTATTTGAACTCGGCTTTTACTTCTTATTAAAAGTTAACAGGATACCAGCGTAAAATAGCAGGTGTTTGTGTTTGGTAAGTGTAGAGAACCGGAAATTCTTTTCACTGGAAACGAGACATTTGGTTTGTAATCTTAGTGTTCAGGGGTGACAACGTATATACATTTTGGTTTGAAATCGGGAGTAGATGTAGATATCTATGAACTACAGCATCTACTTACCACCAGGTGGACTGTATGCTTGTTTATCACCCTTATTCTAAAAAAGGTTATTTTTTTATGTGTATGTCATGTATAGGTCGCGCTGAATTTTGTCCTGTTACATATAAAGGTAAATAAAGAGCAACAATTTTTTTATTCCTTAGACTTAGATGAAGGATTACTCACAAAGATTTCCTTCACCAGCTAACAAGCTAATCAGTACTTAATATATCAAATAATCTTAATATTGATATTTTATAAATATTTTATTGGTGGCGTTGGAGTTCGAACCGTAATTTACGGCGAACAGTTAGCACCCGAGCCACCGCAATGAGTGATGAACTTTTTTGGCTTGACTTACGACGTACATAGAATCTCAAATTAATTCATACTTACTATTAAGTTATAATTTTGTAAGTTGTTCTTTTTTGCTTTTCCAGTTTGATATTGATAATTTAAATTTGTTATTTATTTAACTAAAATAAATGACGCCATTTTGCTTTTATCTCAAACATCAAATTATTTACAGATAACCGAACAGTTCTTTTATTTGAATATTTTTTTGTAAGAATTATTTAATTTAATAACATAAAAATAAAAATTCATTTCAATTTCATGTGAATATTTTTACTTAATTCTTCTTCTAGTTTTTAGACTAGAACTGTAACAACTGAAAATATTAAGTCAAATTAGCCTTATTGTGGTAAGATCCATCATTCAATTTCGTCCCGTGGGTACGACACAGACAAGGGACGACTATAGGAAATGCACAAAAATAATATTAGTTTGTGAAATAAATAGAAATATCCTATATACTCTTTTTCTCTACTAAGTACAGAGAGGCGGTGCAGAGGGCTTAAAATTATAATTGCATTTAGCATCCATTAAGATTAGCGATTGCTACTGCCACGTCAGGTTTTTTAACGTTTTGCACTTTGGCATTACTTCCCGTCGCCGATCTGACTATTTTGCGTGTAGCGTAAACTAGGTAATTATTTATTCATCCAGCAGAATCCTTGAAACATTTCTGATCTTGAAAACACAAAATCCTCTCCTGCGTAAATAGCAAGTTTCGGTTGAGACTGGCCTCACTCACCGAAATTTTGGTCTGGAGGACACTAGTACTCAACGTAAGACCGAAATTATGCTTTATATAATGAAAAAACAATGTTCGCACCTTTTTAAAAACACTTAACTTTCTTGTGGTTATTTTAAGAAAGGACTTAAAATTTTTTTTGATGAATTCTGTACCCCAAACCACTGAAGGCAGCTGAACTGAATAATTATATAAAATCGTTACACTACTTTAAAGAGAGTTATGAGGGGTATCCTCGTACTAGTAAGTGAAGCGTAAGGCGGCCTCATGACTTATATTTAGCGGTGGCCCTATTAATGATTAAAACTATATTATGTATGTCTATAAGAAAGAAACAGTCGTTAATGTATCTACTTAATAAATATATTAGTGCTGATATGTATGTGGTAGTGATGTTAGCATATTACTACTTCATATCGTCGAAAACAAACAAGAAGATGGTCAGAACCATCCTCCTAATAATCATGAAATGAGTACCTAACTGATGTTGCCAACCTGCCTGCCTAGCGTAGCAACTATGAGAGATATCCTCCTTATGAAGCAATCTTTGAGGAGGCCTATGTTCAGCAGTTAACTATAATAAGCTGGAATGAATGAAAAATGAATGTGGAGTTTTGAAAGAGTATGTACATTTTAAGCGAAAATATTTCATTTATTTTGAAACGGAAGTGCTTAGTAACGTAGTAACAGCACTATATGAAAAACTACACAGTGTAGAGCATATTTGTAATGTGTTCGGTCATAACAACTTTATGTTACGTTCTATAAATAAATTATTTTACAATAACTATATGACAATAAAATTTTCAGTGTTTGCATTTTTCCTACTGGTGAATAAACATTTTCAAGACAATATTTTTGCTGGCATCCCCGTACAAGTAATCTAGCTTTATAAACATTATTAATTTTCCTTTTAAAAATTCATTTGACATAAATAACCTTTTTATCTTTTGGGCGTTCGACAATTTGTCATAAGTCTACCGTTAGCTGCCATTGCTTATAATCGTGGGAACTCATCGCTTCCTCAAGTGTATTTGGTACGTTTGTATCAATGTAATTTACATAAATAAAGTTTGGTACTGGATTACCATATCTGGAAACTGGACTTATCTCTATTTTTGACTTTTCTTTTATTACAAATTTGTCCTTATTGTGACTTAAATTATCATCATTAACGAGATGTTCCACAGTATTATTAGAACTAGTTTTATTTGCATCTACATTGTCTTCATCAATGTCTTTTTTAGAATTATTTCATTTTTTATATTTGAAGTTTTATTTTCCAAGTCTCTATCCTTTTCATCACCAAGTTTTTCTAAACAAACTAATTGGGTATTTTCTTCGATTAACTGTACATGCCTAGCATTAATTATTCTTTTGATTAATTAAACTCTATAATCATTTTCATTATAAACTACTAGGAATCCTAGTTGGGTATTTACTTCTTCTTTTTTATATAGGATAGGGGTTACAAATAACCACACAGTCCACCTAATGGTAAGTGATTGCTGTAGCCCATAAACATCTATGTCTATCCTCGATTACTAATCAAAATGCAGATTTGTTACCACCCGTGAAGACTAAGATGAAATGCCTCGTTTCTAGTAAAAGGGTTTCCGGTTCTCTACACTCACCACACGAAACAAAGCAAAATTAAGCTATTATTTTATGGTGGTATTCTGTGAGAGCGTTGTCCTTCCCCGGTCGAGCCGACTAATTTGTGCTAAAACTATACCAGTAATATAGCTGCAGCATGGTTCTACCACGTTTTAAACTTCTGGAACATTTGGTTTAATACCGAAAAATATTTCATAAGGAGCTTTGTTCTCTACTGTATTAGCAATTGTTCGTGTTTTTTAAATAAACTGCTGTTATTATAACTTTGGGCCAATACTTTCTGTGAATTTTAGCTTCTCTCATAAAGCATCTACCTGATAGGTACACGGTTTCACAGACCTTTTTACCAGATTATACCAGACATAGGGTGAACGTGGTAATAAATTTATTTCTTCTTGTCTTCTGAAATTATAAATATCTCGATTAAAATATTCTTTGCCATTATTGCATTGTAATTTATTTACTCTTCTATTAAATTTATTTTCTACTAAATTAACCAATTCTATAAAATAGTTTGCAGTTTCAGCTTTACTTTTAATATAAAAAATTCTCGTACATCTACTATAGTCGTCGATAAATGTCAAAATATATTTTTCTCCATCATAAAAAGTTATGTTATGTGTACCGCTTAGATCAGTATATATCAATAAGGAAATTTGAGTAGTTTTAGTTCTATTATTTTCATATGTACATTAGCCATTTTGCTTTCAATACAATTTGAATATTTCATTTCCGTACTTTCAATCTTATCTGGCAAACATTTTAATAATTTATTATTTATCAACTAGTTTAAATATTGAAAATTTTGCACATAACAAAGTGCCCTATGCCATTCTTCTTTATTTCTTAATTTTATTGAATTTACAAACATTTTATCATTATTAGTTTATGAAACAAGGCTAGTATTTATTAATTATCTCGATCGATTATACACTTTTGCATTTTCATTTATTACTACTATTTTGACATTTTTGGTTATTTTTAACGCTTAACAAATTTGCTTAAAATAATTTACAAAATATACATTTTTTAGATCAATATATGTTTCATTATAGTTATTTTGAAATAGATTTTAATAATACCTACTTTGGTTGCTTTTAACACTTCACCATCTGGCAGTTTCACATCAATGGGAATTTTTAAATCTACATTATTAAGGAAACATGTATCGTTCTTTTTTTTTTTACAGAAGAAGGGGCAAACGAGCATGCGGCTCACCTGATGGTAAGTGACTACCGCCGCCCATAAACAACCGCAACACCAGGGGAATTGCAGATGCGTTGCCGGCCTTTTAGAAAGGTGTAAGCTCTTTTCTTGAAGGTTCCTAAGTCGTATCGGTCCGGAAAATTCGCTGGTGGTAATTGATTCCACAAGGAAGTTGTGCGAGGGAGAAAACTTCTTCTAAATCGCACAGTGGTGGACCGCCAATCATCCAGATGGTATGGATGGTAACGCGAGTTTTGTCGCGATGTGGAATGGTGAAATTGAGCGGCTGGAATTAGTTCGAACAATTCCTCAGAGCACTCCCCGTGATAGATGCGATAAAACATGCAAAGAGATGCAACATCTCTACGCAGTGCCAGTGTATCGATCCGATCATAAAGAACTCGGTTATCGACGATTCGAACCGCTCTGCGCTGGATGCGATCAAGTGGAAGGAGCTGGCACTGGGGTGCCCCGGCCCAGAGATGAGAACAGTATTCCATGTGGGGCCGAACTTGCGCTTTGTAAAGTTGCAAGCGATGTGCCAGCATGAAATACTGTCTCGCTCTGCTGAGCACGCCAAGCTTTATAGAGGCCAATTTGGCCTTCCCTTCCAAGTGACCAAGAAACTGCACACTATTCGATATGTCGACGCCAAGGATTCCGATACTAGCTGAGGCAGCAAGAGGAGTGCCTTGAAACTGAGGAGATACGACATAGGGGTTCTTTTTAGCGGTAAACGCGCAAACTTGTGTCCTCTGGGGATTGAACTGGACTAGATTTAGTCGGCCCCAATCCGAGACTTTGTTAAGCAAAGACTCGACTTCAGACACAAGTTTGTCCCGGTACTCAGCGACGTATTCCCGAGAAATATTGGCACGGCCGGTGTATAAGGCATCACCAGTGCTTTCGTCTGCATAGCAATGAATGCTACCAGTTAGCAACATTTCATTGATATGCAGGAGAAACAGCGTTGGTGATTGCACGCAGCCTTGTGGAACACCAGCGTTGATAGGCTTGAAATCAGAGCATGCACCGTCTACTACGACCTTGGTGCTCCGATCAGCGAGGAAACTGGTGATCCATTTGCACAATTTCTCGGGAAGCCCATAGGAAGGAAGCTTCGAAAGAAGCGCTTTGTGCCAAACCCGATAGAAGGCCTTCGCTATGTCCACACTAACGGCCTCCCCCTTGGACTCTACTGCCTCTGCCCATCTATGAGTCAGATAGACTAGAAGATCACCAGCTGATCTACCACGACAAAAACCGTACTGGCGGTCACTAATCAGCTGGTAATCCTCAAGGTACCTCATGAGCTGGCAGTTTATAATGGATTCCACTATTTTGGAGAACAAGGAGGTGATGGCAATAGGTCTGTTGTTGGACGGGTCTGAGCGGTCGCTTTTTTTAGGGATCGGGTGGACCAAAGCTGTCTTCCATGAATTCGGGACTACGCCTTGGGAGTAGGAGTACCGGAAAAGATGCGTTAAAACTCCGGAGCACACGTCTTCAGCACAATGAGAGGGACTCCATCGGGCCCACTCGACTTGCTGACGTCCAGGGAGAAGAGTGCTTTGCGAACTGAGCGCTGTGTAAACCGCACATCGGGCATGGAACACTCACATCGCGGGATGGTCGGCGGCGTGTTCTCCCCGTCATCTAGAGTCGAGTTAGACGCAAAAAGAGAGCTCAACAGATCGGCTTTCTCCTTTGCGGCATGGGCCAGTGAGTCGTCCTCTCTGTGCAGAGATGGAAGAGATTGCTGACAGAAGTTCCCTTGGACAGCCTTGGCGAGAGACCAGAATGCACGGGTTCCCGAAGGAAGACGAACTAGCTTCTCGCCAATTCTGCGGATGTGCTCAGACCTTGCCTTGGCAATGACGCTTTTGAAGAACCTGGAGGCGGAATTATACTTCTTTTTAAGTACGCTGGTGTTTACATCCCGAGACGTTGATGCGTCAGCCCAGGCCCGGTAGCACTCCTGCTTATAGCGTGATGCTATTTTACAGGAGCGACCAAACCATGGCTGGGATCTGCTTCCGATGGGCACCATAGAGGATGGAATAAAAAGTTCCATACCCTGAAGTACCAAATCAGCAACAGAATCGGCAACAACGCTGGGATCTTCCGGCGAGAAGCAAACCCGCCCCCAAGGGTAGGATGCAAAAAAAGACCGCATCCCGTCCCAATCAGCTGACCTATAGTGCCAAAAATAGCGGCAAGCTGCAGATCGCAACTGCGATTGAAGCGTGAGTGGCACCGTACTCTGTATTAGACAATGGTCCGAAGAGCCCAGAGGGGCATCGACGGAGACCTGATATCTGTCCGGATGAAAGGTCAGCAGAAGGTCCAACAAGGGAGGTACATAGTCTTCCACATCTGGGATCCGCGTAGGCGAAGTAACCAGTTGTGTTAGACCATATGCCAAAGCAAATTCATAGACAGATCTACCCGCATGATCGGTTAAACGAGAACCAAGCCATTCAGCGTGGTGGGCCTTAAAATCACCGAGTATCACGATCTCTGCGGATGGGACCTGTTGTAGCACGGAGTCTGCAGCCATTTGATCGTGGTCGATGAGTCGGTCTGTGTCGGCATTACCGCTATGGGACCAATAGAGGCACCCGTAGACGCGGGGATGGTCGTCGCTGTCTACGCGCAGCCATAGGATGGACTGGTCCGTACCTTCAAGACTGCCGAGGCGTCGAAAACAGATGTCCTCTCTGACGTATACGCAAACCCCAGCCCGGGGCACAAAGGAGTGTTCCAATTTGTACCCCGGGTAGGAGAGATATGAAGTATCAGCCGGAGAGGACACCTGAGTCTCGGTTAAAAAGAGCAAGGCCGGCTTCGCCGTCTCTAGATGGTAATGGACAGCGTTAAGGTTGGAATGAAGTCCCCTGATGTTGCAAAAATTCACGGATAGCGTGACAGGGGTCGCCTTGGTTGTATTGCTCCACTTGCCCCGAACAGCATTAGTCGCGAGCGGAATTTGGCCCTCCCCCCCAGAATACGCGGGGCAGCCTGAGCACTCACACTCAGGAGTGAATTAATTTGGTCGTGGATGCTCAGTGAGGGATTCTCCAGGGGTGCTGGTACCCTCCTGGGGTAGTCTTTATTTAATTCCACTACCATGTTGATGGGGCGGGGGGAATTGGGCCTCCGGCTAACTGCACTCACCAAGCGCAACGCAGAGGTAAACCTCCACTTCACGCTGGTATTCTGTGAGGTCGTGGTACCACCCCGGTTCGAGCTGGCCCATCCGTGCGGCAGCAAAAGCTACCGCTTAGCTCTACCACTGTTAAAAACGTTCTTTATAATATGATCTGTACACCCATTATCGAACAACCAATGAATTTCTCTATTACTATTATATTCTCCTTCACTATATCTCGTTACCTGATTTACTTCTTGACTACATACCCGAGCAATCCATGACTCTGCCGCAGAGCCATCTTGCGGAACGACCCACCTCTGGAATGACCTTGACCTCTGCCTCGGCCACGACCTCGATGAAATCCACCTCTGTTGTAACCTCTTTGTGGTCCTTGCTGCCGTTGACTAGTTGGATAACTTCCTTGGCAGTTTTTCTTTCCATGCCAACAGTCATTTTTGAGATGGCCGGTCTTTCCATAGATAAAACACTGTGCTTTAGTTTTTTTTGAAAACATTCTCATATTGCTTCTCTTGTCTGGGTCACTACTAGTCATATTTTTGTCCTTTATTTTAGACTTTACATAATCTATCTGGAATCACATCAATAAAATCTCCAATATAACTGTAACTTGGAAGTAAAGCTCTGAGCAAGTACCTCATCTTCTCAGTTTCATTTATATTTTCACCTGCTGCTTTGAAATCATTCGTTGTTTTCTAGAAATCAACAAAAAACTCTTCTACTGTATTATAATTGTTTAATTTAATCTCTTAAATTTTTCCTCTAAATATTATTTGAATAGCAGTATACTGTGTTCGATATATGGTGGAAGTTAATAAATAAGGCCAGTAGACATATTAAGTACATTTATTACTTACAAAATAACTTTAACAAAAAACAAGATAACGGAGTCCATAAAAGCAAGCGACGCAATCAGACATGACATTTTAGTAGCGAATAGAGGGCGCTTATGTTGCCATATTGAAAACAAGACTTATTTTTAATAATTTAAAATTAAATATTTTGTACAATAGACTTCAATATATATTACGATTATTAAAGATAACTCAAAAACTATTGGTCAGACCTTCATCAAATTTATATGGGACCACAAAAAAGCACCTGCTTTCAAATAAAAAAGAATCATTGAATCAGTATACGTAGAACAAAGTTATGAGGTAACACACAAAAAAAAACATAAAGTCGAATTGAGTACCTCCTCCTTTTTGAAGTCGGTAGAAATAAGATTATAACATTTGCCACAGATAACAACAGTAATATCTGTTCAAAATGTTTTTTTTTTTAATTTCCTATACCTACTTATGTGTCTATTATGACTGTGGCGTATTTACAATACAGGTTTCTTTCTTTTTATTATGTGTAATATGTTATATATAACCTTCCATCAATTCGTAGCTGATTCAAGTGTACATTTTAGATGTTTGAAAGCATAATCAACTTGATAAATGTGTGAAATTGACAAGTGCATCAATTACTGCGCCAATTGTCTCAGATGACACTTACGTAATGTCGTTGTTATGTGGGTGATATTATTAATCTTCAAGTATATTTTACATTTTTTATACACCGAATAAGAAGGGATGTAACATTATTCACTAACCATGTCTTAAGAGGCGATAGAGGAAAACTGAAACAGGATATGGGCAGCAGAATCTTCCTGATAACAACATAAAATAGTAAAAAGCCTACCGTGGCCAAGCGTGGCAACTATAGCAATATCTGAGGCAATGCTGTGAAAGGGCTTTTTTTCTGAAAGTGTATGCTGTTGGCCTTGCGACCTTTACAGCTTCATCAAAATCGGGGAGGGGGGGGGGGGGAGGAGGCTCGATGTGATTCAAGAACCCCTCATAAGGAGGTACGAACCTCGGCCTTGAACTACTATCGCAATGTGGGAGACGAGTCGCAAAACTAAAAACGCCCCGTATCACGGATATTGAACCTCGTGTACGAGGTGTGTCTGTGATCTCGCATTCGCCGTCGAACGCGGTGTTGCCTAGTGTTCTGTACTAGTGTAGTGTCTGAATGTGTGTGAGTATTAGTGTAAGATAAATGGATTCCCTCTCGTGCGGAAGAGGGGGGGGGGGGGGTAGGGATCGACCTATTCAAAGAAGTGATCTAATCATCGAGGTCAAAAAGGACGTTCATGGGACCTCTCCTACAAGCTTACAAATACAAACCCGCCTCTACCACCAACGGCATAGGATGTTCTTTAATCGAACTGAAGTATCTTAAGGATGATTCCTTAAAATACGAATATAGTGAATCTCGCCGTGAAGATCCGCGTTCCTCACATATGGAGGAGCTCTTGTAATTCTTCCCGGGAACAGGTGTTGGACAACTTGTAGTTGCCGAAGTCGGTGAGAGTGGACGTGAGCGAAGGTCACAACTGCGTATGTCATCACGAGGCGTACGCTGGTTTTGTAAAGATGCAGTTTGTGTCTTAAGGACAGCTTACTGCGTTTATTGGTTAAGGCGAAAAGACGAAACACTATAATAATAATAATAATAGCCACTACGCTGCCACACTACACTATTACGCTGCCTCGATACTGTAGTGCGTCGGAGATGTTTGCGCAAGCTCGCACGGACGGTTTTCATGCGATAATACGTAAGAAAACAGCTTCGCTGCTTAGAAGGGTGAGAGATAGTCACAACAGCATTTTGAAAACAGTAGCGAAGAACTATAATTCTCCGATTTTGAAAAAGTTTGTCCACACATTAATTTTTACTAACACTAGTGTATAAGTCAATTGCTACTAACACTACTATGGATTAATTTTGGTCCGAAATAAAGATTATTATTATTATTATTATCTAACCGAATTAGGATAATGTAGAGAGAGATTGATCCTGTCCTGTATCGCTTGAGTCTTAGAGTGTTAACCATGATATTTATAGCAAGCTTTCGTGTTAACCATGATAGCTTTTCTTTTATCGGGATTGAGTTTAATTCTCTATTTTCTGCACCAACCACCTAGTGCGTTTACTGCAGTTTGGAGTCGCATGGAAACTGAATGGGCTATTATCCGATGTATAAAGTGTTGTGTAATATAATGCAAGATGAGTATTGGACATTATTTCGATATCGCTCACGTAGAGTGAGTAGAGGATCGGGGAGAGCACCGAACCTTGGGAGACTCCTGCTTTGATGGGTCTGGAAAAGGAGAAAGACCACTCGATCCGAAAATGAAAATACCTATTGACTAGAAAGTCTTGTATGACTTTGACAAGTCTTGTAGGCACACCGATATGGAGCAATTTATAAACCAATCCATTGTGCCAAACCGTATCGAAGCACCTGTGTTCGCGCTAAACGCTAATTTCGGGAACGAACGCGAGAGGGCGCGCGGCTCAGTGTCATACCGGTTTGACATTCGGTCGTGCGTAAAACGCCCAAGGGCAGTCAATCGTCTGTAAGCGGTGCTGACGTGAGCACGTGGTCAATTCTGTTAGGGAACTCGGAATAATTAGGTGCGGCCCGTAAATATACGGTCTAGGATTTTGTGACGCGAATTCCTGCTGGAGAGCTTCCCGGGACTTATTGGGTCCGACTCAGAATCTGTATAAGTGCATTCGACAATATAAGTTAGTGCGGCCTCTGTATTCTAGAACTAACTGTTGCAACGCGAAACGGTAGTGACCTTTGAACCTGTAAACTCCGTGTGCGTTTTGTGAGTTAACCTTATACCCAACGATAGTTAGTGGCTTCTGTAAGTTAGTTAATCGTACGATAGAGTTAAGTGACTGTTATCGTGACGAACAAGGAAAGTGAATGTGGACAAAGCCTCGGAGGGCCCCCGCAAGTTGGAGCGGTGTCGACGCCCGGGCTGCTGCCGACGGCTAAGGTCTAGGTTCAATCACCATCAGTCACACCCAGATACACACCACATCACCTTCTTTTCCTTGCACTACACAACCACATGCGACCTGACCGACTCCGGAGGGACCAGTCGCCTTGGAAATAGGTAAGTAAGCTTCGTCTAATTCCTTCCGGTCGACTGGCCGTTGTATAGAACGCTCCCCCATATATTTTAGTGTACTTAGAGAGATTCCACGTGGCCACATGAGGCCCGACCTACGTCTGCTCGGGAAGTCTTCAGCTCATGGGCCCCTGAGGATTTGACTCTTTAAGGGAGCAGCCGTAGGCCGTAACAACCTGTATATGCAGTGGTCCTGTTTGATTTTGCGGCGTAATCTAAGATGTGCTCCCTGAGGCCGTGCACTTGCTGAACATAACATTTATTTAGGAATAAAGTATTTATTTAGCGCAACATACATCAGATGGCCAAGGATAATACGCTCAAAGATTTTCCCCATGACACTGAGGAGGCTGATGGTTCTATAGCTAGACGCCTTATTTCTTGGTTTGTTCGGTTTATGAATCCCGATGACACCTGGACAGAAGAGTATTGAAAATAGACACTAGAAAGCAGATCAATTTAGAAGGTAAAACTTTAAACACCTTCTTATTAATACCGTCTGCACCTGGTGCTTTCTGAGACTTGAGATTCTTGATGATGGTCTTAACCTCATGGAAGGAAACGGGCAGGAGTGGATTATCCATTGGTGACGTGGCGGACAGTTTGACCGCTTCCTCGTCCACGTTGTTCAGGTAGACGTGGTTGACTGGCAAAGTGCTGAGAGAACATTGACTCTCGATGCTGTCTGCCATGCATTCGATCTTTTCAAAGTCATCGAACGCGACTGATCATCAGGTTTAACTAATGAGGGCATCTAAGTGACATTTTCTGACTTTAGAGTTTTCCCCAACCGCCAGGCAGTATGTGAAAGCGTGATGTCTTCCATCAGTCTGTCCCAACGTGTATCCCTCAGCTGGGTCATGCTTCTTGACTTCTCTACAAACGTGACGCAAACTGGACCTATTATTGACGGTTCTCAACGGTTCTCTTATTCGGTATCTCAGTTGCCGTTGGACATCTCCGGGGAGTTCAAAACGACGATCACTCGTCACTCTGACTTGCCACGAGGACTCTATGGCGACCACCTTGATATGAGAGGAGAGAAGGGAGATAGCTTCTACAGCCGTCTCCTTGGTGTCAATAACATCTGGCACCTGACCTTAATGTTCCGAGTTCATAGTTTCGAGGTTAGACTCGAACCTATCCCAATGTCATGAGGATCGGGCGATGGTCCTTATTGATGGATCCTAACTCATGTATCACGTCTATAGAGTGCAACGGTAAGGTTCTTGAAGAGAACCAAGTAAATTCTAGTCGAGCTATCAAAATAGTTTAGTGAATATCTAGTACCCTCAGAAGGAGCTATTATTTCGATTTTCCCCTCAAGTGTTGTTCTGAGCATCATTCCAGGCTTTATATTTACTATTGAAACCTCTTGCTAAGATAACTGAATCTCTAAGAATAAAAAGTGCTTCAAAGCCGCCCTTAAGCACTTTTTCATGGGTGAGAGATACCTTCATCGGTTGATGACCGATCATG